CTTCATAGGAAGCTTCTCTTGTGGCCACAGCATACAGAGGACACCAACACACAAGCCCCAGAGAGCTGCCACCTCCTGCCTGGACAGACAAAGACAGGAGACCAAGTGGCTAAAACACTGCAGTGACAGATCCTCTTCTCCACCCACAAGGACACTTTTGTGGTTTGAGTTTTACTGCTGCCAACTCCACCACAGACTAAGAGCTTCAGGAAGGTCGTGTGCTCACTCAGGAGCTGTGGGTGTCACAGTGACAGAGGCAGGATCACTCTGGTCTCTCAGGCTCCCACTTGTGTGGGGAGACACTCATGCTGACCACAGCAGGAATGGGAATTTCCTCTCTCATCTGTCAGTCTGGATAGGGATTGTGTTGTTTGATCCTGGTGGAACAAGGTTAATTTGGTTTCCAGGAGGAAACACAGTGCTGACTTGGGCAGATGGAGACAGATCCAAATACTCCTGGTCTGCACTCCATAAAGCATCTGCTTGGTAAACACAGGGAGCCTTGCAGGACCCCAAATAGGCCTTGGGAAGAGAGCTGACAGATCCAAGAGGCACAGCCAACTCCACAGCACTCCCAGGACTCGAGTGTCTCCTTCTTTCTCCACAGCCCATTCACAGAGGGGATGAGCTGTGTCCATTAGTGGGAAGGAGCTATTTACTATGGCAATTAAGAAATCCCAAACTTCCACAAATCCTTTCAGGCCTGCAAGGTCAGACTCTCCTGGGACTGCTCCTCTGGCTTTACCAGAAATGCCCTCAGGGAAATGGTGTCTCCCCTAGGTCTGGCCAAAATCAGATGGCAGGATGGCACAGAAACCAAAAGCTTTGTATTTTATAAGAATTAAAGGTTAAATGGACTTTTCCCAGCTTGCTAATGGGTTCAGGCTGTCCATGAAGTTAAGGATGGTTCTTGTCTTCTCCAAAGACAAGGCTTGTCCATTCCCAGGACTGCTGGTGGTGAAACAACTTCTCTCCAGGAAAGGGGACCCACGGCCAAACCTGTTCAGCCACTCAGCTCAGTTTTGGGATGAGGCATGGGGAAACCAGGCAAGGGCCATGCAGAATGAGCAGAGAACAGCAGACAAACAGTGCAGGATGGTGCAGAGGCAAGGAGAAGCCAGGACAGGTGAAGTAACTTGATCAAGGTCACAGAACAGGCAGAGGAGCAGTTGGGCACTCCTTGGTGCCAGTTCAGCTCTCAGGCTTCCAGTGCCTCCAGATCACAATCCTGTCCCTGCCACATTCATTCCCTGGCTCTGTGATGGTGATGGGCATACAGCAGCACATGAGGATGTGCCACCCCCTACCCTGTGGCCCAGGAATTCACCTGCTGAATGAGTGGTGTCACTCTGGTTACCTTCCCCGCTGCAAGGGGCTGCCCTGTTCCCCTTCTCACCTCTCTGCTCTCAAGGAAAGCCTTCTAGACCTGCTGCCCATGGGATCACCCTCCACACCAGGGAGGCAACAGGAGGCTTCAGCCACTGGTCCACACAGATACAGCAGACCTGGACACAGTCTGGGCAGTTCCCAACAAATAAATCCAAATTAACAACCCACAGGTGCGAGCTTTGTTTGAAGGTGGCACCAATGTGCTTCATCGGCCTGGGTCCTCTTTGGTACCTTCTCTGTGTCTGACCTTGGGCAAACTCCTCCGCCAGACCATGCCTCAGTTTCCCCACACTCACAAGAAAGAAGTGATGCATTTAGCCTTAGTGGGGAAAGACATCAGTGACTCCAAAAGGTCCCCCACCTCACAGGAATATCTCTTACAGCTACACAGGAGCTGACACAAACCTGCCAGTTCTGTGAACTCCATGTTCTCTGGTTTGGTGTCCCTGACCCCAGTTTCCCACAATATCCCCCAAACTACAAAGTGCAAGATCCCCATCAAGCCCCTCACCCTCCCCACTCTACGCCAGACCCAAAACGAACCCAGTGGGCCACAAGCTGCCCTCCTCAGCTGCTGCGGCCCTGCACCCTACAGTCCCAGGCAACATCCCGCTGCCCACCCCACCACCAGCCCCTTCAGCAGCCTGAGGCTGCAGGACCCCCAGCCCAGGAGCCCCATCGTGGCTCTGGGCCTTGCCAGCCCCACAGGGCTCACCCCGTTTGTCCCCACCGCAGCTCCCGAGCAAGGGGACACGGGCCAGCCCCAGGGCACCGTCCCTCCCAAAGCCCCCTCACAGCACCCACCGCCCTCCCATGACCCCTCAGCCCAGCTCGAGCCCCTCAGGCCTCCCGCAGGCCCCTCACGGCCGCCCAGCCCTTTCATCGCCCTCCTTCAGCACGGCCCTCACACCGCCCGCCCTCCCCTCACCGCCCCCCAATGAGAGTGAGTGAGTGTGTGAGCTAATTAATGTGAGTTAACGAGAGTGAGTGAATGTACGAGCTAATTATTCTGAGTAAATGAGAATAAATGAATGCGCGAGCTAATTAATGTGAGTTAATGAGAGTGTGAGCTAATTAATGTGAGTAAATATGAGAGTGAGTGAATGTGTGAGGGAATTAATGTGAGTGAGAGTGAGTGAATGTGTGAGCTAATTAATGTGAGTTAATGAGAGTGAGTGTGTGAGCTAATTAATGTGAGTGAATGAGAGTGAGTGAATGTGTGAGCTAATTAATGTGAGTTAATGAGAGTGAGGGAATGTGTGAGCTAATTAATGTGAGTAAATGAGAATAAATGAATGTGTGAGCTAATTAATGTGAGTAAATGAGAGTGTGAGCTAATTAATGTGAGTAAATGTGAGAGTGAATGAATGTGAATGTGAGTAAATCAGTGTGAGTGTGAGGGAATTAATGTGTGAGTGAATGCATATGAATGGACGAGTGTAAATGAATGTGTGTGAGCGTGCTGGTAAATGAGTGAATGAATGTGAGCGTGAGTGAATGTGTGAGTGTGCAAATGAATGGGTGTGTGAATGAATTGAGTGTGAGCGTGTAGGTGAATGTGCGAGTGTGAATGAATGTGAGACAGTGTGAGTGTGAGTGCATGTGAGTGAAGGCGTGGGGTCTGTGGGTGGTGGGAGTTGTGTGTGGCCACCTGTGCACTGCTGTGTGTCTGTGTCACCGGTGTCACCCCCTGCCATGGCAGGGCCACTTCCACTACCCCAGGCTGCTCCAAGCCCCGTCCAGCCTGGCCGAGGACACTTCCAGGGATGGGGCAGCCACAGATTTTCTGGTGCTGCGGCCTCCCCACCCTTTCAGGGAACAATTCCTTCTCAATATTCCATCTGGCACTGTGAAGCCATTCCTGCTGCCCCCCTTCAGCTCTCCCAGACCCCTGTGGGCACTGAGGGGCCCCTGGGGGCTCTGAGGTCTCTGGAGCCTTTTCTGCAGGCTGAACTCTCTCAGCTTTCCCCTGTGAAAGCTGCTGGGGGAAGTGTTTCAGCAGAGGGAATGGGAAGCAGTGGCTGGGTGCTGATAGCAGCTCCGGGGAGTTCCATGACCCCATGAGCTCTGTGAGCCGAGGGAACACCGCAGCCTCAGTGCCCCTGGGGGCTTTTAGAGGAAGAGCTTTTGACAGCAGGGGCCTCCCCAGGATGCAGAAGGGCTCTGAGCAGCCTGCTGAGCTCTGGGAGGGCTTCCCCTTTGAGAGGAGCAATTTAGTCCATGCCTCAGCATCTCCACACCAGCAGGAAAAGGCTCCCTACCTAGAATACTTTAGGCTGTAAAAGACATCAAGACCACCCAGTAACCCAGCCCCACCATGTCCCCAAATGCTACATCTACATGTCTTTTAGATCCCTCCAGGGATTGCGACTCTACCGTTTCCTTCACAGCCCTGGAAGAAATTTTCACTAATATCCAATCTAAACCTCCACTGGCACAACTTGTGGAGTTGTTTCCCCATGTCCTGTTGCTTGTTACCTGGGTGAAGAGACCAACCTGCACCTGACTACAACCTCCTTTCAGGTGTTTGCAGAGAGTGAGAAGCTCCCACTTCAGCCTCTGGTTGTAGTATAAATCAGCATCCCTGCCCTGAAACCAGACCAGGGTTGCAAAAAGATACAGTGCCCAAATTCTCATGGCAAGGGAGCATTCACCCCTTTGTGCAAAACCACTTGCACGAAACCATGTATGTGTAAGAGCTCAGGTTTTGTGCTCCCAGCCCATCCCAAGTGGACACCCATCCCTCTGGCCTGTTTTTTGTGGGAGTGGATGGATAAATTGCCTGGCACTGAACACCCATGGGGGAAACACCCATGGGGGAGGGCACCAGCACGTTCCAGGGGGGAGTGATGCTGCAGTAGCTGCTGGTGCAGCTGTGGGTTTGTGCTGGAGGCCCAAGAACCCTTGCCCTTAAAATGAGAGTTCTCACACTGCACCAGCAAGGAGCTGGACCTGCTTTCAGGGTGACACTGCAACAAACCCCTTAGCAGGTGGGAGCCTGCTCTACAAACACAGTCACACACGTGGCCCATGCTACTGGATCCTCGTGTCACTGATACAGCAGCTACACTTCTCACAGGAAGTATTTAGTGGGTGCCAGAAAACAAAAAGTTATCAGCCAAGCAGAGAAGAGCAAGGTGATGGTTACAGCCCATCTGTGTGCTCCAAGGCTGGGGGTCCTGGTGCTGGTGGAGACAAGGAGCAGGAGCAAACCACCCAGGGCCTGTGGGACCAGGGGCTGGGGGAGATGCCATTTCTGCACCCAGATCCTCATACACCTCACCCTGCACATGAGCACCCCGTGCAAATGCCCTTGGATATAACATTTCCCACTGTCCTGCTTCCCAGGAGCTGCCAGCTGGCATTAGCATGCAAAAATGTCAGTGTGGGGTGAACAGTGGGTTTGGGGCCTCAGCCCACATAAGCAATGCAGCCAAAGGAGCAAGTGGGATGAGTGGTGAGCAAAGGGAGCCTGCTCAGCCACCAGCCCAGCCTCACCTCCCCTGCCCACCTCTCCACACCTTGTCTGCTGGGTCTCTGCCTGGACTACCCCACTACAAGGGGCAGAGCTTTACTCCCAGCACCACTCTGTACGGATGAGGACTCCAAACTGCATTTGCAAAGGCACCACTTTATCTTCAACCCTCTCTGTGCCTCCACACAACCTCATCCTCTCTGATGTTGCCTCAAAGAAACATCCAAGCCTCAGAGACCAACAGCTCTGCTATCGAGCCGGCTCCTGCCTGAGCAGAACATCAACCCCGTGTGCTCTGTGCAAGTCTCACTGGTGCTGCCAGCAGCAGGAGCAGCCCGTGGGGCCGGGTGCTTGCTCAGCTGCCCCACACTGTGCTGTAGAGCTCTTCACTGGGCTGTGGAGCTGATGGCACGTTGGCGTAGATCTGCTCCTGCTGCGGCGCGGGCTTCTGCACTCTGGCATATAACGCCTCTCTTTCCTCTTCCAAAAGCTGGGAAAGGAGGGAGATAAACAAAACATCCGTTGTGCGGCTGCTCCAGGCAAACACTGCCTGCTGGAACCTCTCTGGGATGCTTTAAGCACCCAGGAGCAGCCGCAGGGACCAGAGAGGGAGCCCACACTAGCCAGGGTCACTCGGACCCCGGGCTGGCATTTCCCTTTGAACTCCTCGCCTTCCCCACCCAGCCCATGCTGCTGCTCATCCTGCCACCCACCCACTCCAGCCTTCCCCCCAGCTGGGCAGTGCTTGGCATGCTCCTACCTGAGCGCTCAGCCTGACCTCTGTGTACTCCACCGGGAGCGTTTCCAGCGGGGGGACAGGCTCAGCACCGCCGTGCTGGCTCCCGGCCGTGCCCCTGCCGCGGGTGATGTCCGCGTAGGTCAAGGCTTCTGTCCCCTGATGGAGAAGGATGAGCTCTCACCCTGCTGCCACTCCCCGCCTGCACCCACAGGCTGGGAATGTCTCCCACCCTGCTGCCTCTCCTGGTGGCTGCTGAGATGGCCACAGGGACACTGGGTGGAAATTAAAACTGAAGCAAGGGCTGGCTCAACATTCCCCAGGGGAATTCTTGTGACACCAGCCCCTCCTCAAGAGCTGGCAGCAAAAAATCGGAAAATACTTTGCAAGCAGTAAGCAAGGAGCAGCTGCCCTGCAGCCACTTCAAGTGGGATTTGCTGCAGGTTCCCACGGCTGTTTCACCCAGAGAAGTAGCTCCCATGCTTGGAGAGAAACCTCTCAGATCAATTCTAAATTCCTTTCCCAGGAATACTCTGTGATAGTCACAGAAAGTCCCTGTTTGTGTCTTTCTGGTGGCAAGCAGAGCCCAAAGGATCCCTCCCAGCCTGCAGTGCCATGAACCTAGGTGAAAACAGCAGCTCGGGGTGCAATGTTTCCCCTCTTCATGCGAACTTGGGGCACAGAATCCCAAGAACTCATGAGGTTTTCCTTACTGTAGGTGACATGGTGCTAGTCCTGTCCATCTCTATGGCTGCTCCAGAAAGGGCTGGATGAAACATGGATGTGGCTGGACAGGAGTGAAAACAGAGGAAAAGAAACATATTGAGAAACTGCACTGCCACTGCAAATCTTGCCATAAAGCAGGACAGGAGCCTCACGTTCCACGAGCCATCTAAACTGGAGCAGTTCTTCAAACCAAGCCAGACCCCACCTGCCAGCTGGCAATGTCCTCTCCTGTCCCTCCCCATCCTTCACACTGGCCTCAAACTTTGCATCAAGCCTAAACCTGATCAAGTGCAAACCTGGCCCATGCAACTATGGTGCCCAGACAAACTCAAGCAGATTCTGTGCCCAGCAGCACCCACCCAAGGGCTGTCATTCCCTGCTCCCAGGGGACAACACCCAAGGGATAACACCCAGGGGACACACCCACTGCTCCCCTGAGGGAAGGAGATCTCGTGGTGGAGGTCTCAATGATGGACTGAGGAACTGGATGGATCAGGAAGGCAATGGGGGAGGAAAAAGAAACAGAGGGAAAAATAAGGGAAGCAGAGCAGGCTGTGTTACAGAAACAGGATGTGTGTGGCACTGTCAATTCCACTCACCCTTCTTCTTCCTGGAGAGTACTACTAGAACACCAGCAGCCACTGCAAGCAAAAAAAGGACCACAACAATGGCTGGAGTGAGGATGTGCTCAACCACATTCACGCTGCAAGAAAAAAAAGAATGAAGAAGACAATTTATGTTGTCGTGCTTCTCAGGATGAACCAGCATGGAGCAGGGTTGCAGGGAGCAGCTGGGGGTGACACAGAAAGTAGCTGTGGCAGTAGAGGGGCAGGGCTTGCCCATCACAGCAGGCATGGGATGGAGCAGAGCAAACCAAAAACTGCAGAAGCAAAAGGATGCTCGGGTCTGAGAGCCACTGTGCCTTCACTGATTTAAGGATGGGTTCCTGCGTTTGCATTGTTTAACTTCACTCTTTGTTAACCTTGTTTGTAATGGGCAAGCAGGAGAAGTCGGTGAGCCAGCACACCCTTGAGTGCTGATGGGGAGTCTCAGCTTTGTCTGCTGCTGGCATCACCTCCCGCAGGCAGGAGAGGAGGGGGGGAGATCTAACACTCTGGTTTCATGCTTTTACAACTATCTCTGCCAGGCTGTGTGTAACTACAAAGAGCAGGACACCTGGCAGCACTTGGCTTCCCACGAACAGTCTCACTGAGTTTTGGGGAAGGAAATGGGGTCGGTATTGCAGCAGAAACCACTTCTCCCTTGTGACTTGAGGCACTGGAATTACCGCCATAGAATTAGAGAAGGATTTGGGTCAGAAGGGCCCTTAAAGATTATCCAGTTCCAACCCTCTGCCATGGGAAGGGACACCTTCCACTAGGCCAGGTTGCTCTCAGCCCCATCCAGCCTGGCCCTGAACAGGGATGGGGCACCCACGACATCTCTGGGCAACCTGCACCAGGACCTCACCACCTCACAGAGAAGAATTTTTCCACGTGGAGTGGTTTCTAAAGGCAAAACCAGCAGGTCTGGATCCTTAAGGGAGGTGTGAGGAGTCTGATGGTTACAGGGCTCCAGCTGCACCAAACAGCTCATGGAGGAAAGTGGCTGCTGTAGGCAGGAGCTGCTACTCACAGTTGAGGGGTGGAGGGATTTGATGTTGATTGCAAAACTTCCCCCTGGGAAATTGTCTGTGTGTGGCCTGAGAGAATGAGATCAGAGGACGTGGTGGTCACGTAGGTCCATGATGGGACAGTGGAAGGAGCTGTAACAAAAAGAGGAGAGGCAATGTGATCTTGCTGGATCTCCAGCAGCAGAGATCTGCAGAGAAAAATGCTGTGGGTTTTGCAGTGAGTCAGAAGTGCCATACGTGCTGTCACAGGAGGGAAGCTGGGTCCCCTCTGCCACATCTCGAGGTCAGAGTGCTGTAAGACTCTTCCTCTGCCCACAAGACTTTTCACAGTCTCAGTCCCCCCCCAAAACACGCACAGAACAGTTTCACCTTACAGAAAGGGGTCTAGGCACCCCATGCCCAGTTCAGTTCTACCACAACAACAGCACATATACATTGTCCTGCTCTGCAGGCTGATCCCTGGAAAAGCAATGGACAGGGATGTTTTCCAAGCCCAGGGCCTGGTGCCCAGAGATGCTCCCTCTCTCAATGGGAAACGAGGCAGCACAGTGCAATGAGGAACAGCCAGTGTCACACAGGAAGGCAAGGGGGACACAGGCATCAGCAACAGCTAGTGAGGAAGAACTGTGGGCAGAGAGCACAGTACACCTCAGTAATGGAGACGGCTGAACCAGGGGTGCCAAGAAGAGGTTCTGGGTAGAGCAAAGAAGAGGGAACGAGTGGTGGTGGCACCTACTGCACTCTGGTAACACACCTGGGGGCTGTCACACCTGCATGGGCAGCCATCAGCTGCAGGCGGCCTGCACTGCAGCCCCTGCTCCAAGCAGCGAGAGGAGGACACAGCCATGCTGGATCTGGGAGCCCTGCAGCCCACTGGTACTGACCTGAGAGCAGGATCACCTTCACATCAGCACTCTCATCAGGCAGAAGTGCTCCAGTTCGCGCTCCACAGCGGAAGGTGCCCGCGTCCTCCTCGGACAGACCGTGCACGGTCACCGTGAATGCCCGCTGTGTGCGGTTGTCCCGGATGGAGAACCGGCCCCGCTCCACCACGGGCTGCGACTCCGAGGTGACGACGATGTCTTTACCACAGGTTAAAAAAAAAATTCCACTTGGGACGCACCAGAATTTCGGCAGTTTCTCCCAGCCCGGCGGGTAGGTGCAGGTGACCGACAGAGATCTCCCCAGGAACCCCCGGACGGTGCCGGGTCCCGTCACCGCCCCGCAGCCTGTGGAGACACACGGAGCCCGGCAGTGCGGCCGCCGCAGCGGCACCGGCCGCCCGACGGGGCCGCCCCGGCAGCCGGGGGCTCCGGGCAGCCTTACCTGGCAGCAGCGCCCAGGCGAGCAGCGGCAGGAGCTGCATGGCCGCTGCGGGACGCCGGGGCTCCGCGGGTGCCGCTCCCGGCCGAGCTCGGGCCGCCCCCGGGGCCGCCCCCGCGCTGGGGCGGGGAAAGGGAACTCCTGGGATTAGTTTATTTTTCTCAGGCTAGTTCTTGTAATGCCTCTAACTTAACACAACCAAGGATAGCTTAGCTATTTCCTCTGGAGGCAAATAATAAGCAGGATGGCTTCTGCTGAAGTGTTAGAAACAAAAAGGTTTAATAATACGTAAAATAACAAACAGGAAAACTCGAGCCAGGTACAGAGGTCTGCCCCTGGTATAAACACCTCACAAAAGCCCCTTAGTGCTTTTGTTCTCCTCTTTTCTACCCAATGGGCCAGGTGGGACTTTTTGGCTTCTATCCAATTAGATGACCCCGAGTTTTTGGTGAAGCCTCTGTGGTCCGATGAGGTGGCTTTTCACCTGATCGTTGAGAGAAACTTCTGGGCTTCTTTCCTTTTTTTGGGGGACAAAGGCTAGCTTTGCCACTCTGTCACTGGGGGGCACACCCCTACACGGGGGTGCGAGGAGACGGGGCACGGCTAATGAGCGGGGTCAGGAAGCCTTTACTGAAACCTTTACCGAAGCCTTTACCGAAGCCTTTACCGAAGCCTTTACTGAAGCCTTTACCGCAGCCTTTATGGGCCGCCCCCGGGGCCGCCCCCGCGCTGGGGCGGGGAAAGGGAACTCCGGGGCAGCGGGAGTTGAGTTTCTTTTTCTCGAGCCAGGTCTTATAAACCCTCAAAAGGGAACTTAACACACTCAAGGATAGCTTAGCTGTTCGCTGTGGAGGCAAATAATAAGCAGGATGGCTTCTGCTGCAGTGTTAGAAACAAAAAGGTTTAATAAAACGTAAAATAACAAACAGGAAAACTCGAACCAGGTACAGAGGTCTGCCCCTGGTATAAACACCTCACAAAAGCCCCTTAGTGCTTTTGTTCTCCTCTTTTCTACCCAATGGGCCAGGTGGGACTTTTTGGCTTCTATCCAATTAGATGACCCCGAGTTTTTGGTGAAGCCTCTGTGGTCCGATGAGGTGGCTTTTCACCTGATCGTTGAGAGAAACTTCTGGGCTTCTTTCCTTTTTTTGGGGGACAAAGGCTAGCTTTGCCACTCTGTCACTGGGGGGCACACCCCTACACGGGGGTGCGAGGAGACGGGGCACGGCTAATGAGCGGGGTCAGGAAGCCTTTACTGAAACCTTTACCGAAGCCTTCACCGCAGCCTTTACCGAAGCAGGAAGGGCCCGGTGCGGCCGCCCCTGCCCGCGCCGTCGGGACCGGGGCGGGCGGGGGTCGAGCGGCTCCGGCCGGGCCGTGGGGTCCCGGCGGGGGCTCAGCGGAGCCGCAGGCTGACCCAGAGCACGGCCGCGCTCATGGCCAGCAGCGCCAGCAGCTGCAGCCCGGCCAGCACGGGGAAGTAGCGGAAAGTGCCGCGGGGCCCCGGCGCAGCGTCCGGAGGGAGCGTCGGGGCTGCGGAGGCGGAGGAAGGATGGATGCAGCGGGGGCCAGACGGGCACAGTGCTCCTGTCACGCTCGGCGTGAAACCTCCTCCCGCAGCCTGGCCCCGGTCCCGCGGCGTGGGGGTCACTGCTGCTGTGGGGGGAACGTGCAGAGTCTGACACCAGAACGCCATCCCCTTCCCAGCAGCACTCTCACCGAGCCGGTGCATTCCCATTCACACCCCGCACCCTTGCCCTCCTTGGGCAGGCCCTCCGCAGTCACTGTGAACAGCAGGTGTGTGTGCTTGGAGCGGCTGCAGCGGCGTGTGGCAGCTGGGAAGGAGGGAGGGATGGATGCAGGGAGTGCCACATGGGCACCGCGTTCCTCTCCATCTCCCCTCTCGGGGCGACACCTCCACCCTCAGTCTGGCCCCAGTGCCCCAGCCCTGCTGTCGCTGTTGCCGTGGGGGACTCGGCAGGGACTGACCTGAGAGCAGGATCACCTTCACAGCAGCACTCTCATCACGCAGAAGCCTTTCCGTTCGCACTCCACAGCGGAAGGTGCCCTCGTCCTCCTCGGACAGACCGTGCACGGTCACCGTGAATGCCCGCTGTGTGCGGTTGTCCCGGATGGAGAACCGGCCCCGCACCACCACGGGCTGCGACTCCGAGGTGATGACGATGTCCTTATCACAGGTAAAAACAGTATTTCCACTCGGGACGCACCAGAATTTCGGGTACTCCTCCCAGCCCGGCGGGTAGGTGCAGGTGACCGACAGAGATCTCCCCAGGAACCCCCGGACGGTGCCGGGTCCCGTCACCGCCCCGCAGCCTGCGGAGGCACACGGAGCCCGGGAGCGCTGCTGCTGCTGCCCGGGCACCTCCAGCTCCTTCTGCTGCATCCCGCGTGGGGCTCCGGCCCCGGCGGTGCCCTGAGCCCCCCCCGGCAGCAGCGCCAAGGCCAGCACCAGCAGCAGCCACATGGACGCGTCAGGGCAGCCCTGCTGCTCCTCTTCATCGTGGCTCTGGGGCTTTGCTTCCTCTTTTGCCTCTGGCAGCACTTTCGTTGGTGCTGGAGATCCAGCAAGATCGTGGCGTTTCCTGTTTCCTAGAGTTTCAGCTTCTCCTGGTCACTGAGGTTACTCGCTGTGCATGGTCCCCCCGTGCCCTTCCCCAGTGTCTGCTTTCTTCCTCCAGCATGGTCCCCACGGGGGCACAGCCTGCCTCTCCCTGTCACACTGCCCAGCCCCTCTGGCCGGGAGGGCACCCAGGGGAGAGGCAGCTCAGCACAGCACAGGGACCCCTGAACCCAGACAACCCTCCAGGCTGGGCAGTGCTCCTGCACGGCCACCCTGTCCCTCCCAGGGGAATGAAATGGGTAACCCCAGCCCCTTATCTCGGTGCAGCTGGACAGGAGCACCCACTTCTCTTGCCAGCACAGCCCCTCTGTGGCTCAGGCGCCCCATGCTCTGACCAGGTCCCTCCAGGCCTCCCCCTGTGTCCCCAGTCCCTGCAGATGAGTGGGGGGCAGGAGGACACCCTTGCCTGGCTGTTGCTAAGCTGGAGATGGGCATTTGGTGGACCAGGCAGAGGTGGCAGGGCTGAGGCTCCTGGGGCTGGGGGCTCCTCTCCCCATGAGGGAGCTCAGCTGGGCCATGGTGGAGCCTGCACGGCCCCTGTGACCCCATGTCCCCTCCAGCCACCATGCAGCTGTCCCCACACAGGGACGTGCATCAGCATCCCGGGCAGGGCTGCCAGCTGAAGGAAGGAGCAGGCAGACAGACAGACAGACAAGCAGACAGGGCCCTGCAGGATACCCAGCCTTTATTGCAGAGGCTATTGGCAGCTGCAGCTCAGCAGACACAGGCTCTCTGCACCCCAAACCCTCTCTGCAGCTGCCAGGAGGGGCTGAGGCTTCCCAGGACCAGAAGTACCCGGAACCAAGCACCTCCCAGCACAGGGCAGCCCTGAGGGCTGGCACAGCCCCAGCAGGCTGGGGGCCAGGGGGGCAGGAGGGCATCCCTAGGGCTTGGGGGTGGCTGGGACGGGTGGGCAGCCCCATGCCCTGGTGCTGCTGGATGCCTCCAAGAGCTGCAGGATGTCCTGGCCACGGCTCCTGCAGCGGCTCCTCAGCCAGGCTGCCCCACCAACCACGGCGAGGGCCAAGGGCACCTTGATGCTGAGCAGGAGCAGCAAGTGGATGACACTGGGCTGGGACCTGTGGAGGAGAAAGGAGGTTATGCTAGAGCTTTAGTAGGCTAGGATGCTCCTTGGGACTCAAAGCTAGGAGATACAGGGCTGGGACCTGTGGAGGAGAAAGGAGGTTGTGCTAGAGCTTTAGTAGGCTCTGGGGAATGAGGATGGGGACTGGGGAACTTGCACGTCTGCCAGGATTCTCCTTGGGACTTAAAGCTAGGAGATACGTGCATGGGAAATGAAGGTTTTGTCAAGGGGATGCTTTTGGGGGGGTTGCCTGCATCCCAAGCCCTGACTCACAGCACTGGAGGCTCCCCACAGCCCCTGGGGCACAGAGGGTTGGTGGTTGGTGGGCTCAGGTCGCTGTCCTCAGTTGTGTTTGAAAGAGCTGGCAGAGAAAACAGAGTCAGAACAAAGCAGACACCCCACACCCCCTGTCCTGCACCCTGCACAGGAGCCTCTGTCCCTGAGACTTCAGCAGTGAAGGTGCAGGGGGTGGCTGTGGAGGCATCTGGGCAATGCCCTGAGCACTGCAGAGGAGGAAGAGGAAAAAGGGGGAAGTTTAATGCCAGCTTTGCTTCCAGCCCTGCTTTACCTGCATAGACCATCACCTTGGTGCTGTGCCATTGGTTGAACCTCGCTTTCTTCTTCACCCCACAGGAGTACTGGCCTTCATCCCCTGGTGTGACGCTGCTGAGTGTCACTGTGAATGAATTTGCTGTTTGGTTGTCCCTGATGGACACCCTGTCCCGTGTCACTGTCACCTCTGAGCCGTCGGTTTGGATGGCGTAGGTCAAGCAAAACCAGAGCAAGTTTTTGCGGCACCAGTACTTGGAGTAGAGCTTGTAGCGTGGCTTGTAGCTGCAGGACACTGCCAGTGAGCTGCCCTGCTCAGCTGTCACCTGCCTGGGGCCTGTCACTGCCTGGCCACCTGCAGGGGACAGAGAGAGGAGGTGTGAACCCACCCTGGCATTGCCTCCATGAAGGATCTGAGCCCGGGGGTACAGCCCGAGGGAGGCTGTGCCTGTGCACTCACTCTGCTGGTGAGCTGTGCTGAGGTGAGATGTCACCAGTCATTAAAAAAGAGCCCCATCAAGGGTGTATGTTAGCAAAAGAATGAAAAGCCTTATTCCCAGGGTTCACATGGCAGGGAACGAGCAAATCTCAGAGATCACACCCTGTAACTACCAGAGGAAAAGTTTGGGATCAGCTGGTCTTTTGCCATGGCCACAGTGAGCTTCCTGCTCTGCCTCAGCCCCAGCCTCTCCACAGCTCTGCCAGAACCCCTGATATAGATTTGCCTGACCTGTGCTCGTGGATCTCATGAGGAAAAGGGTCCAAACCAAGAAAATCCTCATTTTCCAGCTTCTTGCTTCTGAGGTGGAATTTTCCCTGTGGTTTTTCACAAAAAAATCCTTCAGGATGAAGCCAGGCCCACATTCACATGGATGTCCTAAGAGTTTTCCAAGCTGTGCTCTCCTGCCCCTTCTTTGGGCGGTGTTTGCCCACAGACCCTGGATGTCTTCTTTTTAAGACTGTTACTTCCTCCCCTTCGCCCACCACTCATGACTCACCCTGGGGTGTTCCATGACAGACACTCTGCTTTTTCTCTGTAATAGTCACTGGGTTCCCAGGAAAACGCCAGAATGCAGCAGGTTCCTCCACCGTGATGCCCAACCCAGCAGGGACCAAAAACTCTTCCCCTGCAAGAGCCCAAAGGATTTGGGGGAGCTTTGAGAGGGCCTGGCCAGAGCAGGATGCAGGGATTGGGGTAGAGTGAGTGCAGCTCAACCCCTGCTGATCCCTGGTTGGGATGCTGGGTTGCTCTCCCAGTTCTGATGGGCTGGGATGATGGAACAGCCATCCAGCCCCCTGCACTGCTGCTCTCTGGCTCTGGCTGCCAGCTTGAGCTGCTTTTGTTTTCTCAAGCAGAAAATTCTTCTTTTCCTCCCCAAACCACCTTTTTTTGGCATGGCTGTGGGGTTTTGAGTGACAACGCTGTTTTTCTCCAGAATTAAATGCTTCCACTAAAAGTTTCAGAAACCCAAACCCACAAAACAAAGCTGCTACCCTGGCTTTCTTCCACTATGACCCTTGGAAAGAGCAGAAACCTCCAGAATCCCCTTCCCTCTCAATGCCTTGCCATGGCAAGGGGAAGCTCTGGCTTTCCCTTTGGGTCATCAAGTAACTCCTTCCTTCCCAGCTGACTGGTTGTGAGCCAAAACTCTGCAAGTAACAGCAAGATCTAAATTCAAAAAGTGGCTGGAGATGGCAGATCTGCATTGTGCTGAGACACTTCCCACTCCAGCCACCTCATCTTCCTTGGGAATGCATCCCTGCCACTGCCTGGAAAATCACAGGGCATCCTTCCCAGCCTTCCCGTGGAGTGAGGGGAGGACTGGCAGAAGTGGCTCGGAGGTAGAGACTCTGGATGGAATGTGTACCAAGGTATTTGCTGCATGAGGATTTTGAGGGCAGCTCAGTTACCTGAAAGCAGACAGAAACACTTCTTCAAAGAGCCACTTTGGTTGAGTTGTTGGGGAATATTCCAAGCCACATCCATGCTGTGTCATTCCTATCACATCACATCAGGTGTGAGGTGTCATTTCCCTGTTTCCCAGGTTTGGGTCCTGGGCAGAATGAGCAGCTGCCCAGTCCAGTGCAGGGGCTGGGACCCCCAGAACAGACTGAGGCCCCTTTCTCCCCACCATGGCAGTCCCAGGGCTGTGCTGTACCCCAGAGAGCTCCTGCCTGTGTCAGTGGAAGATGTCCTTCCATGCCCTGAGGACACAGCAGTGATTTACAGCCACCCAACACCAGCACTGCCACTCCCACGTGGGTTTTTACTCTGACACTTCTGTCACCTGCTGTGTGAAGGGTCCTGGCAGAGTGGGACACTGGCCAGGGGCTGTCAGTGAGGGGATTGCAAAGGGGATGGCTCCAGCCCAGTGCCCCAGACAAACAGCAGTGTGTGAACACCCTCCTGGAGCAGAAGGTCAAGAGGAGAGCAGACAGGAATGAGGAACCCCAGAGTGCTGACACAGAGGTCTGTCACAGGAGGATCTGCCCAGTTAAAGAGAGTGCCAGTTGGAAGGCGGAACCAGAAAGGGAGTAGAGCAACTCAGGGACAAATCTGTACAAGAGTGTGATGAGGAATCACTGTCCAAAGTGGGGAGAGCCCCCCAACACCCTCCAGCCATGGCATGGGTGCTGAGGTGCTCCAGAAGCCCAGGGGGAATGGATAAACAGGGCAGGGGAAGGCACTGTGCTCTGAACCAGCATCTCTGGGGGGCTGTGGAAGGATCCTGCAAGCCAAGACCTCTCTCTTTTGGCAGAAAGAGGCCCGGGAAGCCCAAGGCAAGGCTGCTCTGTGAGAGAAGAAGCATTGCTGGAATGCTTCTCAGGAATCCCTCTAATGCACCCTGACAGGAGCACACCAATTTGCCTTTTGGTCCGTGCTGCACGGGGGCTGGAGCGAGCACCCTTGCATGGCTCGGTGGCTGCATCAGGTTTACTCTCCAGTGTTGGTCCTAAGAAAAAGCCTCAAAGCCTTTGTGACAGGCAGTAATTGAACCAATCAGAGTGTGCATCTCCTTGGTTCAGGGCCCAGATCTTCCCCAGTTCTCATCCCACTGTATCACCCACCACCACAGCTGAGCCCTTCCAGAGTCCTGTCTTCCCTGGACCTCAGTGGTATTTCCAATCCCCGATTCTGTTATTTAATCTAGGGCCTTTGCAAAATAATCAGGTCATTTCAGTCTGTTCTTCACGGGCAGATTTAGCAAGCTTGGTGAACTTGTCCTTAGGAGATAAGGCTGGATGTTGTAGCTCCTTTAGTGCTGGCTGATTGAGCAGGCACTGTCTGATCTCTCTTTCTGCTGCCATCTCAGATACCCGAGACAAGTCTGGATCATTCCCAGATCTCCCGATTCAGCAAAGCCAGTAAAAGTGGCAAAACGGACTCACCGAATTTGTGGTGTGGAGGATTTGCTCTGGGCTCCACCTGAGGCTGGACTTAGACAGAAAGAACCAAGGCAGGGTTATTTAATGCAAAGAAATCAAGAATCCATACTCAGTGGATTCAGAGGACGAAATTCTGATTTTTTTCATAGCTCATGGGAAAGGAATGACTTCAGCAAGGCTCCAGTTTTCCCCAGATTTATTGCACAGGCAATCCAGGGAGATGCTACAGCAGTTAATAGGGTTGGGCAGCAGAGGACAAGCAGGAGCAGACCAGGAAGACAGTGAAACAGAAACTCCTGAGCTGGATGTAAGTCTGCAACTGTTAGAGCTGTACTTCTCAAGGCAAACACACAAGTAATTAAGCTACCAGAGATACAGTGAGCAAATACACCAAACAATGGATGTAAATTGCAGATTGATTTGGAATCACTGCAATTTACAGGTCATTTCCTATGATTTCATTGCCCTGCATTGATTTCAGCTGGTCAGCACTTGCTCAGGGCTGTAAACTGCTCCCTGGCTGCCAGAAACCTCTGCCGGGTCTGGGGGAGGCTGGTGGAGCAAATGGTTTGCTGTGGGTGCTGGGGAAATGCCCTCCCCGGTGTGTGAAGGGAGGCAGTGATGCAGGTGTTGGGCTGCTGGGCTCTGATAAAGCTGCTGTTATCACTGATCTACAGTGGATCAGGTCCCCCAGCATGATCAAGTGGGATAAAGCCCTTGGAGCAGGGCCAGGGCGTGCTGGTGCCTGGGTTTTGCCAGCAATTGTCTCATTAGGCTGCATTATATTTGGAGATATCATGACAGACAGGAGAATTGTCTTCCTGCTGAGTGAGGTTGAGCCTGCAGGGCCAGTGCCTGCAGGGGGAATGGAGGTGAAGCTCCTCAATCCCTCCCTGCTCTCCTTTGTCATTCAGGGTAGTTAACAAATGTTGCTGGAGCTAAAAGCTCAGAGAACGCTCTCTGAGCCGCAGAGCTTCTCCTGCAGCAGGGACCTGCCAGAAATTCCCATCCAGGGACAGGCAGACCTGGAGCCTCAGACCCAGTGAGATGCTGGGCGCTCGCCCTTCTCTTCCCCCTCACCTTCCAGCAGAGGTTTGTCTTGAGTTCCTGCCCGGTTTGGGTGCTCAGGGCAGAGCTGTGCAGCGCCTGCAGCAGGTCTGGGCCCCTGGGGTCCGTGGGGCCCAGCAGGCAGCTTGGGTCAGGCAGTGCCCTGCTCTGGGGCAGGAGAAGGCTGAGCATGCACTCAGGATGTGCCATGAAATCTCCATCCTCAGTGGGCAGCACTGGGATGTCTGTGGGAAGGATTATGCAGACATCAATGGGAGTTTGGGAGTTCTGACAAGTTCTTGGTGTGTTTAAGAGATGCTCTGACTTTGTTGAAGCCCCCCTGAGGTTTGCTGCTCTCTTCATGTCCCTGCCTGCTGTGGGGTGTGTGCACTATGTTGAACCACTTGTTTATTTTCTGACCCAGACACCAGGGCTTGTGATATCATTTGTTTTTGTGTTGTTGATTGTGTTCCAGTGCAGCAGGATGGTCTGGGTTGGAAGGATGGTCTGGGTTGGGTTGGGCTTTTTGGCCTCAGGCAAGCCTGAACTCCACTGTCCTTATCGAGTTTTAAAATTTTTTTCTGGCTATTGCTTCTGAGTCCAGTCATCCAACCCAGCAGAACCATCTCTGCAGTCAGAAGAAATAATGGGTAAATATAATTAGGAATGAAAGGCCCAGGCAGTCAAACAGCAATCGGATGGGTGCAGATGGCTCTTGGAAGCATGGTCTGTTCCTCTGGCTCCAGGCCATCTGCTGCTCTTGAAGGAGGGAATTGGAGACTGAATTGAGTCTCTCTTAAATAAACTTCTGAGTAAAGATTAATTTATTCCCAGTGCAATCAACAGCATCAGATTGCTCTAAAGGGAGTTGTAAAGAAAAGGATCTCAACAAGATATTGATTGTCACCTTCAGGTTTAGGCACAGCTTCATCCTGTTCCTAATAACATTTTTTTTTTACTCTGAGCAGGGCTCTGTAAATACAGTGAAATCCCAAAGCGGACCTGTCGGGATAAACCAGGCTCAGGACTAGTTTGGTAAAGAAACTAAAAGGGCCTGGCTGGCAGGACTGCTGTCCCTCCCTGGGGTGCCCAGGCAGCTCGGGGATGAAGCTGTGTGCTCCAGCGCTGCCCGTGGGCTCTGCGGGTTGGTGTCTGCAGGGCGCCAGCCAGAGCCGGGGGTGCGGGCTGGGGTTCCTGCAGTGCCAGCGAGCCTGCCGTGAATCCGGGCTGGGGGCCGGGCTCCGTGCTCTGAGCTGGGCACTGCCGGTACCAAATCCGCTCTGGCCGTGCCCGCGGGATGGCCAGCGGCTCCCGGGGCGGGACCCCGGGCAGTGCGGAGCGGGGGCTCCATGGGCGCGCGGTGCTCCAGGGGCGGCCCGGCCCGGCCCGGGCACCCCCAAACCCCCCCGGCCATGGGGGCCCGCGCCGCCGGCCCGGGGGGGGACGGCTACAACGAGG